CCAGTCATAGAAGTTGGACTTTTCTAAACGATTTTGTGAGAATTAACTCACTTTTTAAAGAATCCACCATAATTTAAAATGATTTTAAGAATGAATTTTCTAGTTCAAATGTATTTATGTTAATTACTAGAGCCATAAAACAAGATTATGCTTTGTGTGATTAAAAAAAAATAAACACTAAACTGAATGAGCTAAAATAAATAGTAATTTAAACTCTTTGTTTTGTATAATCTGTATGTAACACACAAGGGCAAAGAACATGTTCTGTCTCTTCACAGACCATCTCGGTTGTTTATGGAAAATTCTACAAAATCAGGAACTTTATCTGAAAAGAAAGCAGAAAAAGAAAGTTAGAAAAACTTCTATTTAAGAAGCTTCCAAAACATGAACTATCTCACCTTCCTGGAAAACTTCTCTTTTCTGATAATTTGTTGGTCCCGTCCTCCTTAACCCCCTCCGTTCAGGTATGTACATGACTATACGTTTGCAGAATTGTTTTTCATTTGTGTTGTCTGGTGGTCAACTCATGTTAGATCTTTACATTTTAAACAGAAGGATTTTTATCTTTTTGCTCTCCTTTGTGATTATAGGATTCTGTTGCTGTCAGTTTTAGTTTGCTCATTTTTTATGTAGTGTTTTTTCTTGCTTTCTCTAAGTTTTCTTTGTCTCTGCTCTTCCCTTACTGATGGTTCTGTTTTTTTTTTTTTTATTTAGACAACCTGCAATGATTTGGTTAGAACCCTCCCTCAATATAAAATCCGGTTTTCTTCATGTACAGTAAGTATTGTCAGTTTTTGACTTCTTACTCTTGTCGTACGTCAGTGTTGGTTTCAAAATTAAGTCATTTTGGTGGACCTGCTGCTGGATATTAGGCCCATCCATCCATCCATCCGTCCATCTGTCCATCACTCAGTCAGTCAGTCCAGCCAGCAATTGTGCGAGAGGCGGGGGACACCCTGGACAGGTCTCCAGTCCATCACAGGGACACATAGAGACAAAGAGACAAACAACCATTCACTCTCTCACTCTCACCTAGAGACATTTAGAGTTACCAGTCAGACTAACATGCATGTTATTGGTCTGTGGGAGGAAACTGGAGTACCCAGAGAAAACCCACGCATGGAGAGAACATGCAGACTCCACCCCACAAAGTGAGATAGGCTGCGACCTTCTTGCTCTGAGGCGACAGCTTCAACCATTTCACCACCGTGGCCTCCCTCTCAAGCCCCCCACCCACAAAAAAAAACAACAAACAAACAAACAAACAAAAGGACTCAAAGTAAAGGTGATGTAACACAGAGGTAACTGAACAAAAAGAAACCGTCCAGAGGACCTGACTTAACTTGGTTGGATATTTTTACCTGGATTATTGCGCATGGACTTTGATGTTTTGAACCACTTTGGCCATGGCTGCCTCAGCGGAGTCGACGGGGGAGAGGGAGGACTCCAGAAACCATCTTAGCACCATCAAACTGGTTGACCCACTATAGGTGCTATTAACAGTTTCTTCAGTTTGCTGAGTTTGTTGTGACTCCTTGGACTGATGAAGTCTTTTGGATGAAAGATGAAACATTTCAACATTTTTTTTTTAAATCCATCCAGAGGATCTGGCTTGACTTTGTTAGATTTTACCTGGATTATTGAGCATACATCAGGGTAAAGGTAACATACAATTTGCTGAACTTTGTTTTGTAAGGAGGACATACTGGCTTTAAATTCTCCATTGGACTAAAAGGTCTTTATTGTATAAATAGAGCTGGTTAGCAAAGGCACAGAAAACAATTATTTATATTTTAAATTTGTATTTGTTGGAAATTGCTTCAAACACATAACTGACTTTTAGTCTAACATTTAGTATCTAATATACAGTTTAGTACAGTAAACAGTATTTCAATATGAACCTATAAAAACATAAGGGCATTTAAAACTTTAGAAAAAGACAGCACAGCACCGTGTCATGAAAACTCAAGTCTCCTGGATTTAATTGCATTTTTCCCCCACTTTCCTAAAAAGTTTATGCAAGACAGACATTAGATTAAAAAAAACAACAACAACAACTTGTGTTTCCTTGACTGCATATGTGAAACACAGCAATTAAAACTTTGGAGCTCACCTTGCTGGTTGGCTGCTCGTTGGACAGTTCAAACTAATAGCCTTATTTTCCCTCAGCAAACATGAGAATGGCCTCCTTCTCCTAACGAGGGCCAGCATGCACAGATTAGATGACCTGTGTCCCCTTGCGCTCATTATAAAAGCACGGAGTCCTGCAGAGGCGGGGATAGCTGATGCTCACCTGGCAATTATGAAGGCCTGGTGACCGATGGAGAAATAGTTTCCTGTCTGTTCTCCTCAGCAGAGCTGCACCGCGGAGCCTCGCAGACACAATGCTCCGAGGCATCCCCGACTCCTCACTGTGCTGCCACGCAGCCATTCACTTGGAAACGGTTATGTCAGGGCCTCGGCGCCGCTTTTAGAAGCTACAGAGGGGCTCTGCGAGTTCAGACTAGGAGTGGAATATGATGCGATGAACCACAGTGGAGAACAGGGAAGTGGATTCTGCCGAAAACCAGACTGACTTACCATCATATCGGTCCTACGTGAGCTCAGACACCGGATCCAGAACTACCTTAAATAAGAAACAGGCTGCGGTGCAGTTACTATCAGTGAGATGAAGAGATGTGGTCTGTTTACACAGTATGCAAATAAAACAAATATAATGTAAATGAGCGTCTGGTTTGATGCAAGAGGTCATTTAATATGTTATTTTGGTCTTAATGAAATAAAAATGACTACAGTTTGTCACTGTGTGGATAAAATATATCTCTGTGCACATTAGTAGCTGCAGCTATCAAGAGGTGTGAGCTGAAGTGATATTTGAGCTGTCTTGAATGGAATAAATAAGTGAATAAACAGCATTCTCTGAATGAATTGCATATTGCTTCTTCTCTTACATATTGAGAAATGACTCAATTAGATGCAAAATTACACAATCTGTTACACTCTTATTTGTTGGGAATGACACTCGGCTACTATCAAATAAAATCTGACACCAATACATGTAAAGCTGACTAAGTTGTAGCTATTTTTGTGTTGGCTATGGTTGATTAGATGTAGCAGCCATCTTGAATTGGATTAATTTAAAAATTTAATCAGTTCTTTATGTGCATCCAGTTAATATTTTCTGAGAGTACCGTTACAATTTGTTGTGTGGTTCATGGGATAATTTGTTAACAGACAGAATGAGCCGTCTTCCAAATTCAGTGCTGAATTTTTAGGCAAAATTTAAGCACAATGCGTTAGTACCCAAAGTATATGCTGGGAATAACTTTCACCTACTACCGCACAAAATTTTAACTGAATATCTGTAAAATGGACCGAGTTGTAGCCATTTTTGTGTTTGTTAAGGTTGATTAGCTGTGGCAGCCATGTTGATTTGGACAAACTACAAAAGTTATTCAGTTGTAGGCACCTACCCAATAATTACTCCTGGAATGTTTCGTTAAAATCCATCCAGTAGTTCATGAGATATTTAGCTAACAGACAGACGATCATCACACATTCATGCACAAAGGCAAAAACATGCTTACCAGCTAAAGATGAATCAAATATTTGTTGTGGGGGTGGTGATGTTGTGTCCCTCCTGTGTGTTTGAGACACAGTGTGTAAGCCTGGGCAGTGTGGGTGTATTCCACTGAGGATATGATCTTGGTAATGTGATGAATAATTCCAGTTACAGGTTTTCATCCACCATGGGATCAAATACAGGTTTTGTGAGTGTGAGTGTGTGTGTGTGTGCGTGTGTGGGTGTGTTAGGGGATAAAGTGTAGTCCCTGCTGGAATGTTAGTGGGGGTCTTCAGAGGCTGCTCCTACAAAACAACTTGTATGGACTTTTTGGAACAGCAGACCCTGATGACACCAGGAGATCAATAAAAGCGGATTAATTGTGAAAATGAACACAACCAGGTCTTGTGTGAAATAAAAGTCATCGTCTTTATTTGGATTTCTCATGTTTGATCGATTTTAGGGAAACAAATGGTCATAAATTCGGCGAGCCCTTTCTCTCCTCCTCCTCCTCCTCCTCCTCCAAAGCGGCTGCGCTCAGACGCAGAAAGTGCGCAGGAGCCGAAGAGAAGAGAAGGAACCAGAGCAGCCAGAAGAACATCTGCTGGACCATCGAACAATGAGGGAACCAGTCGATGCTTAACTGACAGAAAAAGGGGGTAAAAAGCTGCCCCCCCCGCCCCCACCACCACCACCATCACTGAACAGAGCTTCAGCTTGGTGGTCCGTGTCGATGCGCGCAGCCCCTCGAAAATGACGACACCGGCGGGACGGTGATTTTCTCTTCCTCTATCTCTCTTTTTTTTTTTTTTTCTTCAAATCCTTTAATTTTTTTTTTCCTGCCATATGCTGGGAGTTTATCTTCGGACCACAAAAGGAAGGGGCCACTTCTCCCCAACCGGTGCGCGCAGGGAGCTTTCACGCGCATCGAATAATTACGCAGCGATATTCGCCTTGTTGCGGCGGCGCGGAGGAGATTTGTCAACTTCCCAGTGAAAACTTACTATGTGAGCACAGTTCTGGGAGCTCGAGCCTTCGCGGGCGATGCGCAACTGATAAAAGCTGTACAACCCGCGGCTGGCCGGCGCGTTTGGACACCTCCTCCTCCTGAGCGCCGCGTGATTTTTTTAATGCCTTTTATTTTTCTCCATCCATATGGCTTCCATCTTCATTCTTTGTGGACAACTCCTACATTATTGATATTTCATGGCTGGGCAGTGTAGCAGCAGCAGCGCGTGCCTAAAGAGGACAGAGCAAGACTAAACTAAAGGGGGGAGCGAAGACTTTTATGTCCAAACAGGAGACGTTGCGCACGAACACTGCAACGAGCACAACACGGCATCCTTTCGTCGCTCCCCCCGCTGCTGCCATCGTAGTATGTCTGCACTTCGAAAGAAATTTGGGGACGATTACCAGGTAGTGACCACCTCATCCAGCGGGTCTGGATTCAACCAGCCCCCCGCGGAGAAGAAGAAGAAGAGGCAGCGCTTCGTGGACAAGAACGGCCGGTGCAACGTTCAGCATGGGAACCTGGGGGGGGAGACCAGCAGGTACCTCTCGGACCTGTTCACAACACTGGTAGACTTGAAATGGCGCTGGAACCTGTTCATTTTCATCCTCACCTACACGGTGGCGTGGCTCTTCATGGCCTCCATGTGGTGGTTCATCGCCTACATCAGGGGGGACCTCAACAAAGCCCACAACGAGACGTACACTCCGTGCGTGGCCAACGTGTACAACTTCCCCTCAGCCTTCCTGTTCTTCATAGAGACCGAGGCCACGATTGGCTACGGCTACAGGTACATCACGGACAAATGTCCCGAGGGCATCATCCTCTTCCTGTTCCAGTCCATCCTCGGCTCCATCGTGGACGCCTTCCTGATCGGCTGCATGTTCATCAAGATGTCCCAGCCCAAGAAGAGGGCCGAGACGCTGATGTTCAGCGAGCACGCGGCCATCTCCATGCGCGATGGCAAACTCACGCTCATGTTCAGGGTGGGCAACTTGCGCAACAGCCATATGGTCTCTGCACAGATCCGCTGCAAACTGCTCAAAGTGAGTTGGGGTTGGTGAGTCTGGCTCTCCCATCAGAGTTAATGGTTTGAACCCTGACACAATTACAGACAAAGTTCTACTTGTGTCCACTGAACTGGACGCAGATTATTTAAAATGTACAAGAAAAAAAACAGTAAATCAAAAAAGAAGACGTGGATGAAATTACACATTGGAGTATTTGAAATAAATGTAATGATATAAATTTGTCTGTTCAAAAGTAAGGTGGAGGTTTGTTGCACGTGAGCTGCTGTCTCTCATTCGGTGAAACTATTTCTGCTAGAAATAAAACCATGAATTAGTCAATATGTGCCACAAAAACCATCATCCATCTCTGTTCATACCTTACAAGATGCACGAATCAGCTCAAATCAGGCAAAAAAAAAAAAAGTTTCAAAGAAACAAATATACTTATGTATTATTTTTAAGTGTTAAAGTTCAAAGGGTTTTTCAATATATTGTTATTTTTTTGTTAAACGAAAAGTTAAAAAAAACAACAAAAATATTTGGCATCGTATATCAGCCATGCATCAGTTGCCTTGATTTCTAAAGATTGGCATCAGAAAAACTTTCTACTCTCTGCTGTCCAACTTCTACTTTCAGAGGTCCAGTATCATTAATGTACAAAGCAGAAAACGCTAATTTTAGGATAAATTAAAAAAAAAGACATAAGTTCAAATGAGTTAACAATCATGTCCCTCCTTTAAAATGTTTTTACTTTAAGGTAAGTCAGCCTTTTAGTTCTATTTTATTATTATTTTGTCTTGCTTTCTCTTGTCACACGGCAGGTAAACTCAAATTCAGTTGACCAACTTGCTTGACAAATTATTTGATTTTATTATTTATTAAAATAATACATAAAAGTAAAGTTGAGTACAGAGATACATCATTGGCTATTTGGGTCCCGCACTCTACTGGAAACCAGAGCTATAAGGAAAAATAAAAGATTTCACAGACTTTGTCTTCACCGCGATATTTTAGTTTAGATTATGAAACTTCTAAGAAAAACTGGTTGGTAGATGAAGCGATGATGTTGAGATCATCTACGATGGGACAAAACCATTAAAAACTTTAAACACAGGCTGTAAAATCCTAAAATCTATCCCAAAACGGAAGCTGAGATCACCTTAATGTTTCCACCAGTTAAAACAGTTTGTAAGTCAGTGATGATTTTCTCAAACCAACTTTCAGAAGATATAGAAGTCCAAACAAGAGGGGGAGGTTTAGCTTCACCTTGTAAGTCATAATTGGGAGAACAATTAGAACAATAGACAGTTTATTTCACTATTTTCATACGCATCTTGCACACTAAGTGATTTTTCTGTCAGGCCTTTAGGACTTGGTTGCCTCCAAGCTGCACATAAATCTGCCTCACTCTTCTTCTCCCCATGCATCTCGCTCTTTATGCTTCTTTCAGTCTCGCCAAACGCCGGAAGGCGAGTTCCTTCCGCTGGATCAGCTGGAGCTGGACGTGGGGTTCAGCACCGGGGCGGATCAACTCTTTCTCGTCTCGCCGCTGACGATCTGCCATGTGATCGACACCAAAAGCCCCTTCTACGACCTCTCGCAGAGGTCCATGCAAACGGAGCAGTTTGAGATTGTGGTGATACTTGAAGGCATCGTGGAGACCACAGGCAAGTAATGTCTGGGAGGAAAAAAAACTTGTTTGTCTTGATGTTTTTGCTCTGGGCTACGTTCGTGATGTGTTTTTTTTTATATATGATATCGAGCTGCTTCATAGGATCTATTTGCTCGCACTCAGCTGAGCTCATTACTGAACTCTTAACTGCTTTTTATTGATTTTCATTGCTGTGGCGCACATGGTTAAACACATCGCAGCCGATATTAATGGCAGTGGAAGGATTTGATGCATTTTAAAGAGCTAGCCGGATTATTTTTGAGCCGATGTTGTCAAATACTTATGGATGTTGTGAACTTTCAGGCTTATAAAACAACTCTTTCTGCAAAGCAACGTACAGGCATAAAAAGAACACATTATATTAAATGTTGCAGTTTTCTATCGCTGTTAGCATAATTAGGATACACTATATTATAGATGAATTGCAAAAGTGTGGAGGTTTAGTTTTAGCCAGTGCAATATTCACATCTAGTTTTGTGAAAAAGTTGTTAAAGCCTTCAAAACATTAAAAACTGGCCCTTGTTTGGCTAACTGTTAGCCTAGCCACGATGAAGACTTTCGCCCATTTCTCCATACTTCATGCTCTGTGACTGACAGCCTGACTGTAACAGCTGATAAACTAGTAACTACTGATGATGATTTGACCAAATACTACCTCAAAACGATCTGAATCATGAAAAATGATGAGCTGTTGCTCTCAGAGGGCAGAATAATTTGCTTTTCTAGGGTCCCTTTGGAATTACGAAATTCCATTTCCACACGATGAGCCATGCCTGGAGTAAAATACTCCAACGTGGTCATTTTAAATTCAATCGTTTATTCGACACGGCTGATAAAGCGGCGTGGAGAGCTCCTCTTGGTGTTACGTTCAGAGCAGAGCAGCGGCTGTAATGGAGCCGATCAGAGAAAACAGCATATGGAGATGTGACAGGAAGGCGCAGACGGTAATTAGTGGAGACGCTCACATCCTGATAGATGCTCCTGATAGAGATTTATTGCAGTTTGATTAAACTTTTATTGTAGCTGAGTAATAACTAACATGCAGCATGACCCTCCGGCTCGGGGCATGCAGTATTTATGCAGGCTCGTTCTGCTGAGACCAGACATATTCAGAAAGTGGGAGAACATTATTAAATGAGATCAATTTATGACACTGTGAAGTGCAGCCGAGGAGCATCAGAACGTGCTCGGCTCAGCATTATTTCAGTTTATGACGAGAAAATTTAGTGAAAATTGATCAATATCTAGAGTTTTTATTCTATCTCCCACCGGCAAAGATGGACAATAATATTTTAGCCTATGTGCGCCTGACCTTTACCATGTTTTGAACCACTGGGCAAATTTTAATAAAACTTTTAGACTAATCAGTGGATTCTACAACTGATTAACCTTTGGAGTCAACTCAGTTCAAGATGGCTGTTACAGCTGATTGACCTTTGAAAGCACCAAAGTGGCTATAATTTTATCAATACTGTAGGTAGTGCTTTGGAAAAAAAGATTCCCAAACAGACCAAGGTGTAGTTCATCGGATTTATTTACAAAGATTTGGAGAGCAGTCCCAACAATTCACAGAACATGCAATTACAAGATTACACTGTTAACAGTGCTCTCATCCAGGTGAAACCCTGACCTGCTCTAACTCTCTCTGAACCAGTTAGTTTTATAGAATAATCCTCCTGTCCAGCCCTCAGCACCTCCCCCTCCAAGAACTCTGCCTGAAGACACATCACCATATCAATCTCATATCAATCAACCCTTGAGGATATCAAAAACAACATTCTGTTCCTCAACTAGTCACAGTAAGAGTGATTACATGGGCACAATCACAGTCAATAAATAGAACAGAGTATAATGTCTAACGCTCCGTTGATTACGTAGAAACAGATGATGCATGATGAATGCATGAAATACATTGTCTCAACATAGCAAAGAGTCATTCACAACACACACTGAGCGTAACATCTTGCAATAATATCGCATGAGATTGTACACATGGATATTTTTAAAGTTTTGGGCAGCGGGTGACATGCATTCTTTCAAGGAGTGCTATGGGTCTTTATTATTGTTCGAGTATGCTTGTTGTTGTGTGTGTTCAGCCTATTATCACATCTTACCTGCTGCTTTGTGCTTGTGACATTTAAAGCAAGAAAACATTCAGTTCGGGAATGCGATTTATTTATAATTAGCAGATATTTATAGTTCTGCATTGTCACAGGGGCACATGCAAGCTCGTCGTTCTCACCTTGGCTTTTCGAGATTCTTGCTCTCCCAGCAGCCGTAATTACGTTTTATATGTGGAAATGCTGATGTAGAAACAATCTATAGTTAAAAATTGATGTACAGTGAAAGTCTAAATCCTTAGTTGCTTTCATTTCTGGCCAATGTAACTCTGTTTCCATGGCAACCTCTCCTTGAGTATTCAGGGTTGCAGCAAATGCACTAAACTTAGGCTGTTTTTATTGTTATTATTATTTTCCACGGTATAGGAATCACAACAGAATCTGAGTAATGAATCGGGCAAACATGCGACGCTGAACACGAAATGAGATGACAGCGGCATCACCTGTTATTAAGGAGGATCCTCTCTGAAGAGTGAGAAGCACACAGAGGCGGTTCTGTACCATAAAGCTCCTGCCAGAACAGGTTTTTACAGCAGAGAGAGAATAAGATCAAATATTTATGAGGTTGCTCGGTGTTTACAAGCAAAAAAGAAAAGAGAGAAGCTGCCCAACTAACTGTGTTATACGTGGGGAAAAAAAAAGGCTCTCCCTGTAAATCAAGTTGAAATAGTCACCGCTGCACAGCACAGCTTCTCCAGCACCGGCTCGTCCTGCTGGATAGTAACAGACACAATTATGTTTTCTTTATTGGCAACTTTCTTCCTAAAGAAATCCCACACAAATATTTTGGACAGAAGTTCTCTTTTCACACATACAGAAAAGGAGGAGCTGTGATTTTTCCTTTAGCTGTAACCTCATAGACTGACTGAAAGGCAGGAGCTGATCATCGTTCTTTTTGAACAGGAGCACGAGGTGTTTGCCATCCTGATGACTAGCTAACGGTGCAATATTTTCATAGAAGGATGATTAAAAAAGGCCAGACAAGGCAGGACCCCAGTTGTAACATTTGACAAAAGGACTATCAGGGAAAAGGTTTGACTTTGCAACAGGGTGCGATTCAAAATATGTGTAGAGCTAAACTGCCACAGCCAAGTCTATGTTGATGTGATGAGAAGCTACGCCACCATTTTGCTAGGTGCTGTTATTTATGGGTGTCCAGCAGTGCTTTGTTATACTGATATTGTGCGCACTTATTTTACAATAATGATACAGTTTTGATATCTTGTGCAGCCCTACAGCCGACCATAATTATCAGAGTAAAAAAAAAATCCTAAACTCTGCCAAGGAGCACAGTGTGTTGCCATCATTATAATTATTGAGCCCAGCACTTCAAAACACTTCAAAGAATGTAGCAATATGTTTCATAGATGAGTTATATGTCATACTAGTTCACGAATCATTAAAAATGTGACCATTTCAGTTTTTGTCTGTCTTGTCTACTGTGTATGCTGAATGCTGTCAGAAAATAGTTCACAAATCCAGAAACATCTGTGCTGTGGTCATAAGTACCCCGATATATTACATATATATAATATATACATCGGATTTCACATCTGCCTTCATGATCCCCCAAACCCTGATGGATAAACTATTCACACTAAAACTAAGCCCCTCCATTTGCAACTGGGTACTAGACTTCTTAACAAACAGACCACAGTCAGTGAGGACCCACAACTTCTCCTCCTCTACCATAACCATCAGCACTGGCTCTCCTCAGGGATGTGTGTTGAGCCCCCTACTGTTTACTCTACTCATGTACGATTGTGCAGCTACCCATCCAGGCTGTCACAGTGTAAAGTTTGCAGATGATACAGCGGTGGTGGGATGCATCACAAATAATGATGAGTCCAATTACAGGCAGGAGGTGGAACACCTGAAGAGCTGGTGCAAAGAGAATAACCTTCACATCAATGTCAGAGTCAGAGTCAGAGTCAGAGTTTCTTTATTGTCATTCGCACCTCATGTGGTACATGTGGTGGAGCGAAATTATGTACACAGGGTCCCAGTTACATCCAACAATAAAATGTATAAGAAAAACAGTAATAACATCTAAGATATGAACTAAGAAAAACATCAACTAAATATACACTAAGCACTCATAACATAAAACATTGAACATCACCACAAACATGAACATGAGTCTGTGAGCAGATGTGCACGCATGAACACATCAACATTGAAACAGATCAGCAGCAACATGAAACAGATCAGCAGCAACATGATATGGTTTTTCACAGTGATTATTCTAGTTAGAGATTCATGAGTCTAACAGCCTCAGGGTAGAAGCTGTTCCTCAGTCTAGTGGTTCTACACTTAATGCTCCTGAAGTAGACAAAGGAGATGATTGTGGACTTCAGAAGGAACAAACACACCTACACCCCACTGAACATAAGAGGATCTGCAGTGGATGTGGTCTCCAGCTACAAGTACTTGGGTGTACACATGAATGACAACCTCAGCTGAAGCAACAACACCACCAGCCTGATCAAGAAAGCTCATCAGAGACACTACTTCTTCAGGCGGCTGAGACGAGCTGGTCTGGGAAGCTCAGTCCTCACCTCCTTCTACATGTGTGCAGTGGAGAGCGTCCTGTGCTCCTGCATCAATGTGTGGCATGGAGGCTGCACAGCTGCAGAAAGAAAAGCTCTGCAGAGAGTGGTGAAGGCTGCACAGAAGTCTGTTGGAGTCAGACTCCCCACCATCACAGACTTCTACACCTCCAAATGCAGGAAGAGGGCCACCTGCATCATGAAGGACCCCACTCACCCAGCACACACACTTTTTGCCCCGCTCCCCTCAGGCAGGAGGTTGAGGAGCATTAAGTGTAGAACCACTAGACTGAGGAACAGCTTCTACCCTGAGGCTTTTAGACTCT